CAAACGAACTCACCGTCGAACAAACGAACTCACCGCTGTACAGCGCGTAGTTCCAGAACAACAGAGAGTCCTCGTCCCCGTCGAAGTTCCGATCGGACGCTCGCTTCCAGGGGATCTTGAACATCTGCGCTTCCTCGTCGATCCACTCCAGACCGGCGATGTGACTGGCGGCTATGTGGTCGCGCAGCCAGCCGGTCAGCTTCGTCGCCACCAGGGGGCTCTGCTTGCTCGTGGAGGCGCACAGCTCTGAAACAAGAAAACGACTCGGTGATATCGAGCGAACAGAGACCGTACTCTCTTGGGGTCGGTGAAATCGAGTGAGAGAGGCATTTGTACCTCTGACGTACTTTACGATCAGTGTTACTATTGATAACGAACCGCAGGTAGCAAGGTGAACTGTTGCTCCCCCTCCCACCCCTAAACAAATGTAGATACTATTACATGGTCAGTGGACAGGGTCAACTGCCAAGAACACAAAGTGTGTGTGGTTTTGCCTTCCTCTCGACTTTCCAGGCAAAATGAGCTAGCTATTCCCCTGTTATTTGTTTGATCGTTTTTTTTAACAAAGCTTACCAGATGTCTTGGCATTTGTTATTAGCTTGATCATAGTTGTTGATGCAACCACACCGTTGGCTTGTGCTGTTGGTTTAGCACAGGCAGTAGCATGCTCATTTTCTCCCTCCATTGCTTTGTATTTTGTATGACTTAGTCGATGTACAGTTCTTGGATAACATTCGCTCTCAAATGTCCTGGAAATGCATGCTAAAAAAAATTAGGTACAGAAGTTAGTCATTTAGAGGCTTTGGTGAAATTATGCACAACAGTATAAATGAAAGAGAGAATATGTGTGGTCAGGATGGTTTCTCTGTGACTTAGATAAGATTATAGAACCACACTGAGATATATATATGATCAAAAAATGATAACAACATTCCTGGTCAACATCAGCAGCAGCAGCAGCAGCAGCAGCAGCAGCAGCAGCAGCAACAAAAACGACAACAACAGTGATAACATTTATTTTGAAGGTACATATAAAGTCTATCTATAAAATATAACCAATGGTACTGGAATGGAAATGAAAACAAGAGTGGTAACACCACCATCACCATGGTAACACCACCATCACCACCTCTACCATCATCACCACCACCACCACCCCCATCATCACCACCACCATCATCACCACCACCATCATCACCTCTACCATCACCACCACCATCATCACCTCTACCATCACCACCACCATCATCACCTCTACCATCACCACCATCAATCACCTCTACCGAATCAACAACCCACGATCACCACCTCTACCATCAACCACTCTACACACCACCACCATATCACCTCGTACCATCACCTCTACCATCAGCCACCACCATTCATCACCTTCACCATCCCCAACCGTCTAGCCGATTCACCACTGCACGCATCATCACCTCTACCATCACCGACCACCATCATCAAACATCTCACCGATCACCTCTACACCATACCACCACCATCACCACCTCTACCATCACCGACCACCATATCACCTCTACCATTCCACCACCAACCATCATCACTCTACTCATCACCTCTACGCATCACCACCACCATCATCACCTCTACCATCACCACCACTATCATCCCCACTGCCACTACCATCACCACCACCATCATCACCTCTACCATCACCACCACTATCATCACCTCTACCATCACCACCACGCATCACACCCTCTTCCCTCACCACCACCATCAGCACCTCTACCATCCACCACCACTATCATCACCCTCTACATCACCAACCACTATCATCACCGTCTACCATCACCACGCACTTATTCATCCCGCACTGCCATACTCATCACACCACCATCATCACCTTCTTACCATCCACCAGCGACCTATCATTCCCCACGTGCATCTACATCACCACCATCCATCATGAACCTTCTACCATCACCACCCTATTCATCCCACTGCCGACTTACCGATCACCACCACCATCATCACCTCTACCATCACCACCACCATCACCACCTCTACCATCACCACCACATCATCGCCCACTGGCCACTACCGGATCCCACACCATCATCACCTCTACCGATCACCACCACATATCATCCTCCACTGCCACTACCAATCACCAACCACCATTCATCACCCTCTACCATCACCACACTGATCATCCCCACTGCCCACTTACCATCACAACCGACCATCCATCACCATCTACCAATCACCACCACTATCATCCTAGACTGCCCACTACCATCATTTCGACCACCATCCATCACTCTTACCGCATCACCGGCACATCATCACGTCTACCATCATCCACCACGTATCAGTCCCACTGCCACTACCATCACCACACCATCATCGAATAAATCTTCTACCATCACACCACTATCATCCCACGCGCACTACCATCGTACCACCACCATTTCATCACCTCTACCATCACCACCACCATCATCACCTCTACCATCACCACCACCATCATCACCTCTACCATCACCACCACTATCATCCCCACTGCCACTACCCCCATCAAAATCACCAGATTCACCGCCACTGCTTCCAGCACCACCAGCATTATCACCATAACTACTACTACAAACAACAACAACAACAACAGCAACAATAACAACTGTTAGAAGAGCAAAGAGGATGAAACAAAACACACGACGTACCAATTGGCTTTCTTCTATCCAATTAACATGTATAATTTCAGGTGACATATCTCAGCAACTGCCATCCTGACAAAGTATCAGGCTTCTGTAATTAATAAAAGCACTGTAGGGAAGGTACACAATAGTTATAACTTATCTCATTGTCACTTTCATTAAAACCCGCACAAAAGGCTAAAAATATCTGAGAGTACATTGCCCAGCGAAGGTTATTAGAATAAAACTGGTTCTATGGAATGCTAGGTTACAGTTCAAACCCAGCACAGGAAAGTGAATCCACATTCCATGAAAAATATATGTATCTCCATCATCCATAATTGTATCCGAGTGACCTGTTTCTATGACGACGAAGATCGCAATAGGAGCCTAGAAGGACAGGTACTTTTGTGATGGGAGGCTTGATTTTGCTAGTACCTAGCAAAACCTTGTTCGAGTTAAGATAATATAGAGTACTCTAAAAAGGTCAAATTCCATCTCATTTGTGATGGAACAGGGGGTGGGAGGTTTTCTCATTGCACATTCACCAGACTCAACTCTTCCAAAAATCCATAGATCTGTCCCTCCAATGCCAAACGACAGCAATGCTGTTTTAACAATTCAGGCATAAAAAAAAAATTTAAAAAAAAGTTAGTGTGCCCATCAAATTTTGTTATGTTTAGCTGTGCACCTAAGGTCTTTCACTCATATATATAGCTTTTAATTATTTGATACACAATTTTTGTTATTTCTTGAATATAAATAACTGTAGGTGTATAATAAAATAAATGACTGTATCGCTGCAAATTAAGAAGTTTCTGGAGAGCCACTGTTTACAAGATAAATGATTTTTTCCTATAATGTAATTACATAAAAAAATAATAGGCTCAAACAAAAAATAAATTGAACAAAAACTGAAATAAACTTCAGTTCTGCATATAGATATATTATAATCTTAGGTCAAGGTGTCAGAAAAAACCTTACTACTAGATCTAGTGAAATGCACCTTTAACTGATCATGACTAGACAAATATTCTTGAACATGTGATGAACCCTTTCTTATTGACCATAGATCCTGAATATGAGGCTGAGAGGGTCTATGTCCCCCAGGGTACTGCCGGAACGTACCCTGGGTACGGTCCGGTATACCCTGGTACTATCTAATATGCTGGACTGTACCTCGCCTACTCCACTAACGAGTCTAGGGAGTTGCCTACGCCTATTCCCTACCCTAACCCTAACCATATCAGATAGTTACCAGGGTACGTTCCGGCAGTACCCTGGGGGACATAGACCCTATGAGCGAATATGAGTGAAGCTTAGATCTTTTCAATCAGTTACAAATATAGACTAATGATGGCGCAAGTAAATATGTGTCAAGGTTACATGACATACGTAACTCACAAAATACCGTGTAGCAATATTTACTAATAACATACATGGCTTTATATAGCTGTAAAAAGACAAAGCTGCTTAACTTCAGAATTTAAAATGCTGTTCTTTTTTATTACAGTACTGATAACAAGTTTGATCAACAGCAAAGCTGTGCCACACAATCTTGTATCATGTCTCTCTGGATCAGTAGATGCATATATGACTTTGCTTTATGAATAAAAAATGTATAATTATCCATGACAATATTAGGAATTATTATTATGAAGTAACATATCTATTTTACATGCCACAGCAGTTTATATTTCGAATAACAAATACTTATTATCACAACAACTACTTTTTACAAGTAGCTAGCATACTAATGTAACAAGAGTACATAATACAGTAGTTAGTACAGTAGTACCACATGTGCTACAAAAACATGAACCATTTCCAGGGATACCAACATTGGGTGATAGGCGAGAGTGAGATGCGAGGGAGCGAAGCGACCGAGGGGGGGTGGGTGTGATAGGGAGCTTTTGCATTTTATAACTTCAATTTGTGCAATTTGGTTCATACTAAAGTGACTGTTTTCAGATATTGTAAGATTTTTTTTTTGCTGTGCATAAGATATTTCAGCGTTTTATTCATGAAGAGATATTCATGCGTGAGATATCTCAGCATTTTTTTGCTGTGCGTGAGATATTGTAAGATCAGCGTGAGCGCGTGAGATTTGGTCAAAATGCGTGAGTCTCACGGTCAATGTGTAAGAGTTGGCAGCCCTGCATTTCTACTGCAATCTACGGTATTCATCTGTCAATTTAATCAAAGGTAGAATGTTCCTTTCGTTTTTACAGTCTATTGGACTATGAAGAATATTATTTATGTGGCTATAAGACCATCACCACACACCATACTTGATAGTGGATACAGTATGTCAGTAGCACCATAGCACCACAACATACATACTCATTGTCACATTGAGCACCATACGTGATATAGCGAACGTACAAATTATGCAATAAATGTGAGTTTATCTTTGATGTAACTATTATATGGACTGCATAAGTGCATGTACGTGAAATAGACACTTCGACCACTTGGCCGTCAGCGCTTGCATTATATACATTTATAAAGTAAAATATATTTTCGCGTCCGCCATTGATCTCATAATGCGGAATTATTATATACGAAGTGAAGGAACACGCGAATTTACGCCTGTGCACTACGCAGTAATGTGCAAGCATGCGGATAGCATAAAAACATTGACCTAAAATAATGTAGATGAAATTCAGATACGTATAAAAAGTATATATACCTTTTCCGTTGTTACTCTTTGGAAAAATTCTGGTACGAGCCAGTGGCGCTGACGTCGCAATTCACGGCCGCCATTATCTGCCATGCCCACCGACAGCAGCGCCACCGTGCGCACTGTGCCAAGCCGCGGGTAGGGTGTTAGAAACGCGGTAATGGGATCGGGTCGTGATGGAAAAGTTGCTCAGATATTATTTGTCATGTATAGTACATACTTCTACCAGTTTTAACTTTTATGCACTAACAAGTGCGCGTAAAGTTCGGTAAATTAAAAGTTCGGCAAATTATGGTCCGATGCGTGTTATATGACGTGTTATACATCTGACAAGACTATGACTTGAGGTCCAAATCCCGCCCGATTGCTTTTACACGTACATGCTAACACGTTTATGTAATGTAACTACTAAATTATATCCGTTTAAAATTAAGCGCTAGTAGAACTTAGAATTAAAGAAATCCAGTTTTCGCTGTCGTTTCTTATATTTATTGTTACTGTCTGTAAGGTGATTTCATTGACGCGCAGGTCGCGATACACGCTCACGGATCGTAACGGAACAGAATTTGCTTATTTTTGACGCAAGATGGGGGTGCGCGTAGTGACGTCACGCGCGGAAGTAAAGTGGAATAACATGGACGACATGACGCTGTTTTTATTTCACGTTAAATCAAAATATCGGCGGAAGTGCTCCCTAACATACACATTTTCTGTGATATTTTTATTGTTTGTAACATTACTACGAACAGTTTATTGTATAGACTGCGTTAAAACGCCCTGCGACCATGGATCTTGTGTTAATCAAACGTGTGTTTGTGATCCCGGATGGCAGGGTGATTTGTGTGAGAGTTGTGGGGGTCGGTTCAGGTAAGTTGTTTATTTACGCTAGGTATAATTCGTTACGGCGGATATTAATGACATAATGTAGTGAAATGTCGTTTGATAGATCTAAAGCGGTTGCTTAACTAATCTTTGTGTTCCCTGCCGTTTACGCCGCCCGTGAGACCCAGGATTCTTCCTCAGGTATGGGCCTCAGAAGGCATGTACCAAGTAGTAGGTACATTGTCGTGCAATCGGTCAATTCATCCCCGATTGTCGGGGTTAATTTAGATACGATAATGTAACCCAACAAGAGTAGGGTTACAACGCGAGCATATTCTTTTCTTTGGAGGAGCCCCTGAGTGATTCACTCGGGCGGTTTTATTGTGCGTTTTTCGAGACTAGAACTTCCAAACTGGGTTTATTCTAAACACGAACCTTTCTCCGCTATCCTGGGACTTACTATGTATCACAATACTCTGTATTAAACTAATATAACCTGTTACAAAATTTTGAAGCAGCGAGCGGCAATATTTCAAGCGCCTTTTCTGTTGACCTGTGATGTACGCATTCCCATGCAATGCCCATTCGGCTAACTTTGGCTCCTGTGTTGCCTGACATGCTGGCTCTGGGGACATCATGACTGACAGCAGGCATCCCATGATGCATTCGATCTTGGAGCCGAAGTTAGCCGAACGCTATGCGCATTGGGAATCTGTATGTCACAGGTCAACAGAAATGGCGCTTGAAATATCGCCGCTCGTCGCTTCGAAATTTTGTAACAGGTTATATTAGTTTAATACAGAGTATTGTGATACATAGTAAGTAGCAGGATAGTGGAGCAAGGTTTGTGTTTAGAATAAACCCAGTTTGTAAGTTCTAGTCTCGAAAAACGCACCATATTAAAACTGCCCTGAGTGAATCACTCAGGTGCTCCTCCAAAGAAAAGAATAGGCTCGCGTTGTAACCATACTCTTGTTGTGTTACATTATTGTATCTAGGGTTAATTAAATGCAAGTCGTGAGCGGCCCCAATGCACAGGTCAATTCGCTCAGATCGGGTACACAGTACACCAAGCTACAATAACACATCATGACTGCGTTGGTACCGGTACCGTTAAAAGTAAACACAGCTGGGAACTAACGCATGTAGGTTAGGCAAGTCAGAGGACACAATTATCGACCATCACAAATTAGCTTTGGCTTTGAAGGCATGTTGGACCCGACATGTGTTAAATGTCTGGGGGGAACCCTGCTACTAGTACTCGTATTTAGCAATTCTAGATCGGAATTGTTTTAGCGCTTAGGCCAAAACAAAATATATGTGTGGTTACCGTTACATGCCGAAAAAAATAGGGTAGGTAGGTAGGGAAAACATTTTATTTTCTTGAAATATTTTATTTACGAACCATGTCCGAAGGATGTGCGTTGTGCCTTTTGAAGCAGGAACTGTCCAATTCATTTTTTTTTTATTTAAATTTTTTTTTTTTTTAACTTTTAAAGAAAATTGACAATAAAATGTTTAGGGTCGCTGGGAATAAATAGGGTCGTTTGGGAAACCGTTACCACACCTATATTTTGTTTTGGCCTTACGTACAGACTTCCAAATAACTAGCTGCGTGGTTGTGATATCAATGCCTTATTCCCTATTTCTTCCTTTAACGTTATGCCAAGCTAACATTGCTGCTTATAGTTATACCAAGGGTGGTCAAGTGTTTTACATCGCCAATACAAGATTATTTTACCCAGCCATTACTACAGGAGAGGAGTGTCTGTCATTTGATGTGGTCATCTGAGCCATGAGAGAGATTCGCAGAGCCCAATATCGAATCGGGTTTACTATATTTGAAGTTTGGTTTTCAAGCTGTGCGGTTGTCCGTATTGAATGATTCGCGTGAGATGTGGGCGTGAGTGAACGCGTGTAAACGACAGCGATTGAAAACCAATGCTGTATGCCCAGAAGGCCAACACGAAGACTTTCAAGAACTGCTCAATGCTAAGTAGGCATAGTGCAGTTAACGGCAGATCCGCGGCATGCGGCACGTGAGCGTATAAAAGCACTGCCGCGTGTCGTTAAAGTGGAAAGGGTTTTATGTAGCGTTGAATTCACACGCTAGAGAAGAAGAGCTTCGAGAAAAGTGTTGAGAGCGTTTTTTTTCCTAGCGAGAAAGCTTTGAGGGAAGGCGGGGGAAAGAAGATTCTGGTTTTTTCTAGCGAGAAAGCTTTGAGGGAATGGCGGGGAAGGGAAATTTGCGTGTGCGATTGACAAACCAGGGTTTCTTCTGAGGGAAAATTAGACAAAGGAGGTAATGGCCAGTTTGGGACAAAAAGGATGGCACTCCAACCAATCAAATAACGGAAAAGTGTAGACCCTGCGTCACATGACTCAACTAGACAGAGGGCACTCACGGAGTGCATACCTCCGCCAGCGACATACTCCATACGCCTCATGTAACATGTATGTGTTACGAGCTGGCTCGCCGCTCGCTGCTGGCTGCTGCTGACTGACTGGCCTGCTGCTGACTCGACGCGCTAATATCGATCGCGAGAACACACTAACACACGAACGGACTAACACACGAACACACTACACGAGAGCGATCACATAACCTCCTCCACTCCGTGGGCGGAGGTAATAAACGCACATGGCAATCTAAATATGCTGGAAGCACGTGGGGAATCTGGTGATCTATTTATTTTGGGGTTGACGTACTATTTTGACAACGGCGGTGCGCCACAGTGCCTCTTATACATAAGAAACTCTGCAAACGAAACGAGGAAAACGAAAAGGGGAATGAAGCGGTGCAGATGAGGGGGATGAGGGGGAGATGAGGTGGAGAGGCAGAGTGGAGGTGATGATGAGGGTGCCATGAAATATTAAAATAACAGCTGGGAAGAGAGATGCGCGAAGGTCAGAGGGAAAACAAAGCCTTTGACAATTAATGGAGAACCAAACGAAAGCTGAGAATCTTCGTCAGGGAAGGCTTGCAGGGATCAAAAAGCTACCGCGAGAGTGCTAAGAAAGGGGCGGGGGATGGCAATGTGGTGTATGAACTACAGCGTTACATACCTATCATGTGCCACCATGTTCGTGTCTCAGTAAAATCAAGGTCAAATGTAACCCACTGTGAGTAAATTCAACCATTTGTCTAGTTAGTGTGTCGCTTATATGTCATCAGCCCGTCTCAATCTGTATGAAGGTGGAACTGGAATCGATTGGTGGTACATAGTATCAGGAGTCTATCAATATATTGATAGACTCCTGATAGTATGGGTACGTGTAGCACAGTGTGAGATAATGCTGGTTACAATGGTTACAGGTAAGTAGGCAGCCGTGGGCCATGGGTGTATTCTTGTATCGTAACTTACAGCCGTGGGCCATGGGTGGATTCTTGTATCGTAACTTACAGCCGTGGGCCATGGGTGTATTCTTGTATCGTAACTTACAGCCGTGGGCCATGGGTGGATTCTTGTATCGTAACTTACAGCCGTGGGCCATGGGTGTATTCTTGTATCGTAAC